CGCTTTCTGTACCGCTCATTTTCTCTCATTTGCTCTTCGGACTCCCGTATCTCTGCCGCATACGTTCCTCTAACGGATTAGGTAGTCGATGATTGCGCCGTTTGTGTTTTTAGTGCGGTCATCGAATACGGAGCCTCGGGTCTTCACCATGCCTTTTTTTTCTTCGTCACCTGACCAAAACCGGTGTTCGTAACACATGTAGAGGCACAACCCTGACCCACGCACACGAGCGCGTCGAACCAATTCCAAAGAACCAAATGATCCGATTTGAAAACATTAAACTGCGCAAACTATGACAGTTCCCACAAACCAAACAAACAAAATGTGAAAAAAAGTAAAAAAAAAAAACGAGTAAGAAGATTAACATTTACAACAACATATATTATGGACCACTCTTTTTTCTTTTTCTCCAGGAGGCAAGGTTGAGCTAAATATAGCCCACATGATGCCCGTCAAAGCTCCGACCCAAACACGGACACCCGAACTACTTTCCTCTTCGTAAAGCTAAAGCCTTTTTCTTTACACCGTTGGGTGAGGCACCAACTTTTTTTTTCTTTTTTACAACAGCGTCCCTAAGAAGGAAGAGAACGGAAAGGAAAAAAGGAAATGCCTTCCCCCTCCTCCCCCCTAAAAAAAACAATAAAAAAAAAGAGCACGACACCAGCTGCTTCTTGCACTTTCCGTCGTCTGCACCGCGGACGCGACCAGTGCCTCGCTGGGAAATGGGGAGCTAGCGCTTTCCCGGAATGGGACCGCTCTTGTCCACCAGCCGCCACCTGCTCGAAATTTTTCCCTCAAAGCTAACCTACAAACAAAATAAACACAACAAACTCCGTTTCTTCCTAAGTTGACAGTGCGGTGGAAGTTACACGCTCACTGGGCAAGTCGTCGTCTGCCTTTCGTCACGTGATCAGGCTGGGTCAGGCGATGAAAAGGAGGCGTCTGATTGGTCCGGCTTGCGCCTAGCTTTGACCGCACTGTCAGTCAGCTTAGGAGTGTGAACGGAGCACGGTGGTCTCCTTCGAGGCTCGCTGAACAACATGTCGGTACGTGTAGCGCTGAATCTTTTGACTGGGAAGGTTCTCCCTCGGATGAACGAGGGAATGTGGCAGCGTTGAAGAACGACCAGGGACTCGTGGAAGCTCGGTGTATTAGAGAGTTTGGGACCGTAGATCGTTCTGATTACCTCCGATAACGATCCGAATAACGATGCGAGGCATTCGCACTAGAGAGTTCCAGTAGATCGTTCCAATGACACCGATAACGATACACGATACAGCGCCACCGCCTTTGCGTACAAATTGGACCGTTATCGGGTATCGTTGTCGGGGGTATCGGAGGTATCGGAACGGTCTGCTGAAACTCTTTATTCGCAAAGGTGTCGCCGGAGTATGGGGTATCGTTATCGGAGATATCAAAACGATGTAGTAAAGTACCCTGGGAGGTTTAGTATATCGTTCTGATATCACTGTTTGACAGGTAATGGTTGAATTAATCGTCTAAGAAACACCAATTAATCAGTATAGAATTCTTAAACGCTGCAGAATCTACATGCAAAATAATTGATTTCAATCGAAAGTTCTGAACTGCATAGCTCTTGAATAAGCTGATCGACTCAAATTTAGATTAATTTGATTTAGAGTTTTCTGTTGTTTTTTTTTTCGTTATCATTAAAAGTTGTGCCTTGTTTGCCGAAAAGCTTAAATTTGAAAAATTCGGTAAATACAAAGTTTCCATACTGTGGGATCTGATAAAAGACTATTGCAGAATACTTAAAATACTTTAAAAAAAAAAGGAAGAAAAACAAAAGCTTGAATAATATTTATAAGGAAGTCGAAGTAAATCCGCTCGTGAATATTTGGGAGTTCCTGGCTCGGAAGTAATCATTGAAAAGTTTACTGGTCGGCGACGACGGAATTACCAAAGTTCCATTGGTTAGGTGTATGTTGGGTGTTAAGTTTTTTAAAGCGCAAACTAAACTTTAAAAAAAAATGTTTTAGTGTTTTTTTATATTAAAGCTGCACCGCGCCTTTGTTACTGCTATTAATACCATTGTTCCACATTTATACAGCAAGCAACCAACATTGCTGGCCGACCCGTGCGATGTGTCGTCACCTAGCGACGTTCAAGCGTAAGAAAGCTTGGTAAGAGAGTGTTTGTTGAAGATTCATTTATCTTCATCGGGTTATTTTAGTTTTGTAAATTAATGCGTGTATCTTAACGCGGTACTCACACGAGGGAGAAATCGCGGGGATTTCTTCCCGGCACGCGCATCACGCGACGAAAACGTCAGGCTTTTTGCAATACGGCGCTATGACGAGATCTGGTTTCGCGGCGGATCAGTTTGTTTTCGATAATACTTTGTCGTTAAACTACTTGGTGCCAAATGTAGCGCTCGCCAAATTCGTCTGCGGTGGTGTCAGGTGTGGAAACCACTAAATTGGACCGCAAACGCCGACATCCCCCCCCCCCCCCCACACACTCACACACCTCGTCGCAGTGAACGACGAAGATGAGGAAAAATTGCGCCCGCTGGGGGGGGGGGGGGGGGGGGGGGGGGGGGGGGAGAGTCGACGCCACGCACATTCCAGCGCGGATTCTTTTATTTCTGTGAGTTTCGATTCCAATTTTATTATTCCAATAAAGAATCACAAAGTCACACACTGTCCAAAGACAACCTTTGTCGCACGTAAAAGCAAAATCGTACTGGGCGCACTACATCGGAAAGCGCACGCAAACACGTTCGCGCGCCTCGCAAACCGAAACCGAAACTTAGGAAAATGCATGAACGTCATTGCCACTTGCTTCGTCCAGATGGCGCCACCTGTGCGCAGCAGAGTCTTGGAGCCTGTAACAGCAAAGTTTCATGGTACGGGCATCGCAATCGAACCTCCATTTCGTTTATTCTCTCTGCTTCAAATCAAAGCAACGCAAGGAGAACGATGGCAAACAGTAAACAAAACAAAAAGGAACTAATGAGGACGCGATGATTAGTGACGTCATGGGTGGAGCACGTGGTACGCGGGTGCAACGAGGAGAGGAGGTTCTTTATCTATTTGCTCAAGGCGGCATCCCAAACGAGTCGCAAAAACAAAAGAGCGAAGAAGGATGCGAAGAAAATTGTCTCCGCGTATTTGAACAGCTGTGTCGTGGTGGTGGTGGTGGTGGGACCCTGACGTAATTGGCGGGTGACGCGTACGCGCTAGTAGGGAAAGAGATCCGTCTTGTGACTTTTCTCTCTCCCTCCCCTTTCTGCTCTTCCTCCAGGCGACGTTCACTTCGACGCACGTTCTGTCGACATGCCAAACTTTCAAACAAGCGGAGCGTCGCAGCAGGAGGGAAGGCTTCCTTCCCCGAGAGAAGCGAATACACGTGTACATCGGGCAGAATGACGCTGGAAATAATAGAAGAAAAAACTATACTTACTTCGTTTCACCATTGGTTCGATCGCAGTCGAGGACTACTCTGTTTCTCAGGTCGAAACCCAGTATATCAGACATACGGACGTAGACACAAGGCCATGGAGCGTGAACAGGGCTTCATTTGTTCCGCCGACGAAAGTAGGTCCACGCACGTCGGCAGCCGTGACGTTGCGGTTTTAATGTTGCTTTATTGGTCCCATCACCTGGTAGCACCGGCTGAGCGCGGACTAAGTTTTGCAACCTCGTGACATTTGTCCTCTCGTTGCGCGTATGCTCTAACCAGCTGAGCCTATCGAGAGCAGTGAACGCATGCGTGATTTTGGGCTTTTGCTATGCATGTCCGTGCTTATGGCGCCGCCATAACCAACCCTCAGTTTTTGTTTCCTCTAATTAAGTTTTCTTCACTTCTTGACTACCACGGCAGGAGAGTTCATTGCCATATTAGATTCTACTGTGTCCTTATTATCCCCAGCAGTGGCCTTTGTGGAAGCTCGTCGTAAACTCCCGTTTCAGTGACTCCTCATCTCGGTAGAAGTGGTCAGCAAGGACGGCTGTCTTCATCCATGACCCAAACCAACACGCTCTTCTCCCAAGCAAGCGTATTCTTTTAAAGCGTCTACATTTTGTTTCAGTTTTTGTGCGGCGTCATGGCGCTCGTTTTCTTCGTGGGCTTGCTATTACCGGTTTAACCATGCGAACCAGACTTTATGATGACGCTCACCAGCAAAGCAAACGATAGAGGGCGCGCCTTGTCGACAATCTCGTCTGCGAAAAAGCCGTTGCTTTCGAGCACACCAGTAATCACCGTCCAAAGTCACGGCGCGCGGGGACGACAATGCTATCGCGGGCTGGCGAAATCCCTGCTATCTAATCCCCGCCGAGTGCTGTATCAGCGGCTATTGTTTCGCGCGGTCGTTCTGTCGCGTCAGAGAGGAACAATGGAACGGCATTCCAAGGCAGTTCTCGAGACTGTTATCGTCCTTCGGACCGATGGCTGGTCTCTCTTGTCTATCCGATTTAGGACGACAGCGTTTCTTTGAGCCGTCCTCGCAGCAAGTTTTTTTTTAGGGGGGAGTCAAGATAGGAGGTTCCGAAGTCCCTAAATAAGATACGACGTGCTGAGTGTTTACGCTAAGACAGTAGCCCCTCTGTAGTCTCTCTCGTACAAGCACTCCACAGGATTTTGACCGTATAACTGAATAGAGCGCCCGACAGCGATTTTTTTCCGAATTCTTGGGACTTGGGTGCCTCTGTATCACAACGAGGGTCCACTGGAATACACTCTGGGTGGACGCATAGAGGCCACAATCATTCAAGCTCCTAATAAAAAGAAAAAAAAAATATATATATATATGGAGGTTTGGAAATTCGAGTAAACCATCGTTCCTTTAGAGACTATTACGTACACAGTGAGAACTAACCTCTCAAAATTAGGAAAGAATTCATTGTGGGTTTACACTTTATAGTCAATGTTCCTGTCCTATAAATTGGAGAGGTTGGAGTTTACTAAGGAATACTGGAGTTCCTTATAGAACACAAACAACAAAAGAAAGTAAGAAAGGCCACACCACAACAGGGTAAGTTTGAACTGCAATATTTATTTGTTTTTCTTTTTGCTTGCAAAAAGGGGCTTTATCACAATGTCATCAAACTATAGGATCTGTCCTTGTGTAAGTGTCTCTCTGTACAAATAATAATTACATTCATAGGCATCGCCTAGAAGGGGCACAGAAATGCCTCGGTCAGTTTTTGTCAGAAATACAAAGGGAGAAAAAAAAATATAAGTAGCCGATGTACCGGTGAGCGCATTGCTGTGAAGCATGCAGCCTCTGTCAAGCAAGCACTGTATACTAGGTTACAACATGAAAATGGGCACGATTTGTCTGTGTACAGGACACGTTATCAGATGCCTCGTCCTTTTTTATTATTATTATTACGTAATCGCACATCACAGACGTATATAAGTTACTCAACGAAATAAAATGTGTTTGCACGAAAACCTGGCCCAGAAAATGACAGGGATCTCCAACCCGTGGCAAGAACAGTTAGCAAGTTCAGCGTTTGTAACGTTTGGGGATATACCCAGAAAGAAATTAAGAGCTACCGGCAGTTGTACACATTCGAACCTCCCCTGGACTAGCTTCGAAATAAGTGCAGGCAAAGGTAGGTGCTCTTAGACGTAGCTACCAAAACATCGGTTTGTACTTGCAACTGAAGAAAACTGGAAGAGGGAAACGATTATAAATAAGATTGGAGATCCCAACATGACCCCTCGACCCTTACAAAATTCCCCGCAAGAGTGGCATATACACGCGACGAAACTATGTATATATATAAAAAAAAACTTGATGTCAAAGATTGCACATGATCTCCAAGCAAACAAGAGCCTGACATTGTTGTTTTTCAGGCTGTCGTATGACATTGGGGTGACCTTTTCTTTCATGTTTGTGACAGAAACTGGGATGGGGAAGGCTTCAAGATACAGAGACATGCTCTAATACTGTGCTGGAGTGGCCAGGCTCAGCGCTGAGGAGCACATCTACAGCCTGCTAAAGACTACAACCAGGAAGATAATCGCACTCTCCATGCTGTTTCTGGGAGCTGCTATCTTCGGTGCCTGGACTGCCTTGCCATGCTGAAGAGTTGCCGATGGCGTGAAGATGGTGTATTGCTGTTCATCGGCAAGCCGCGGCACAGACGTCAGCCGGCGTCTTCGCTGGACGTCATCAAGCAGCCTCTGCATCTCGCCGGGGCGTCAGTTGCGTTGACGGTGGTTGGTGAAGATGTCGCTCTTGGCTTGGAGTAGAGCGAAAGACTAGCCGTGCTCGGAGGCACCGACGCACCATCACTGAGTCCCGGAGCTCTGCCTCAGCGCTCTGGGATGACGAAGAATCATTGTCCCGCTGGTCGCACTTTCTCACAAGTCCTAGCACGAGACCGGACGTGGCGACGGCACCACGGCAGAGATCAGGTCCGTCAGGTGGCTGGGGAGGACTTTGTCGGCGTGGTTCGCCTGAAAAACACGAAAAGAAACGACTGGTCAGAGAAGTGGCCATCGGGATTTCCAAGAACACAGAAGAAACATCCCGTTGAAGGTTGCTTGCACACCAAATATAGTACAAGACTGCAAAACGCGCCCAGTTGTCCCACTAGGAGCAATACCCTGGAAGGTTTACGGGAGGACACTAGTGTTTACTTGTACAAGTACCTTCAAGGACAGAAGTGCCGACCTGACGACATGAAGGGGACCGCAGATATGAACGATGCATTATTATTTGGCGCGGAAACCGTTCGGTAAACAACACAGAATGTGGACAAGACTACGGCCAGTATTGCAACCGAGAGCGACATCTCCAATCCGCATTGACGTTCAACGTGGAAGATTTTTAGTTTTTGTCCTACCAAACCGGTTGCAATAGCGCTCGGCAAGCCAAAGCCGTGCCAGAAGCGTTGCAAACGTTCGTGTACTGTACGCAAGCCGAGGAAATTCTCAAGGCAATCTTGAAAGTTAGGCAGCATACGAAAGATGCCTCTCCATGCGAAAAAAAAAAAAAAAAGAAAAAGCCAGACGGGCCTTCAACGTCCACAGGGGCATTACCACACGAGTCTGACCCACATCGGCCACAGCGGGAGAGGGGGCCTGCCCGGGTTCGCTCGCTCGCTCGCGGAGGATTTTGCGGGCCGCAGAAAAACCAGTTCTGCACTTGTCAAGGAAGTCAAACACCTCCCCTTGTCCCGGGCAAAAGCGGGGGCCCCTTCGGTTTTTCCCGACTAAAGCGCATAGAGCCAGCCAGAAAGTCGCAGAAGGGCCGCGCAACCAAGAGACACCATTCGCGGAAGGATTGCATGCATGAAGCCACGTCACGCGTAGTCGTTGTCGAACGCCTGCTACGTTTTCTGACGGATGCGTCCGAAGATGAGACGGGAGTGACTAACAACGGACGGAATGCAGCCGCAATAACAGGACGTGCGTCGCCGTGCAGGAGTGACGGCGGTATCGAGAGCTGGCAAGGTGGGGCTGAAGGGCGAGGGATGGTACGATAGTGACGGAACTCTTTTCGGTTATCATGAATGAGTGTTGTTCTTATGACGCATCAGAGGGAACGCCGAGTAGGGGGTTTAAAAACATGGAAGAGCAAAAAAACCTTCGTTGACTTTTTTTTTTCGCTTCCAGAAAAGGCGCGATGATGCAGCGATTGTAAGGTCAGTTCGAGGACTCTTGTTCGACTTTCTGAGGTTATAAAGGAAGCATATGAATAGGAATCATATTGGTGCGACGATGTCACACTCATGATTCAGAGTTCCAGAAGAGTTTTCCCGTACAAGGTATGCGTCCTTGAGACCAGAAGCGGAAGCTAACCGCCACACACGACATCGCCTGCGCAGTTAGAAGAGGATCCATGGGGCAACAAAAAGCTTCTGTTTTTTCCATGAGACAACTGTACAAGGCGCGACCGCTACGAAGTGTCCCGGGTTATTTGGAACGGAGGGCTTTGCGGTATCGTAGGTACTACGTAAACCCTCGCTTTAACACTTTCCCCCCACCGTGCGGCAGCGAGTCATGCAGCAGCCTCAAGAAACGCGATGCAACAATTGTTTGGAAACTCACCTCCAACACAGAACAGGTGTTCGCCACAGCGTTGCTAGAAGGCGACAGAACTCCCAAGGGTTGCCTCGCTGGACTCGTGCTGGAGCCTGCAGGATGCGACGAGCGGGTGGCCGGGTGCGTTTCCAAAGCGATCTGCAGGTCGAGGATGTAGTCGATGACATTCTGGATGATCTCCAGTTTGGAGAGCTTCTTGTTTCGCGGCATGTTAGGCACGAGTTCCTTGAGCTTGGCGAGCAGCGACTGCATCTCTTCGTGGTTCAAGTCCCGGTCCTTGCGGCCGCGGCCGACGCGGCCTTCGGCCACCTTGGCCAAACACCGGCTGATGACCTGCTGTTCCATCTGCGACTTCATTCCTGGCTTAATCCGAGAGATAGCGGAGTCCGAGGACGTAATCCAAAGAGGGCCGACGGCGCACTGAAGGAGGTTGAAAACAGCGGAAGGTTGTTTCACAACACCGAAGCGACGGATGAGCGTTGTCGACTCGACGGCGAGCGAGGAGCGAAACATGGACCAGAAAACGGAAGGCCGCCGTTTTTATAGCCAAGTACGAGAGGCCGACCAATCGGGGCACAGGGGGCGGGCACTGCGGGATGAGACAGCCAATGAGGCCGCGTGGGAGAATCCGAGATCGCGCGTTTCGGACGTCAGACGGCGCCACCGCCCTGCGGCGCGCTCCGGAGTCAGTAGTAGTTGCGGCGCGCTGCTCACAGCTGTGGGTTCCGTCCGCGAGGAGGACCGCTTCGCGGCCATTTTTTTTTCTTCTATCTCTTCGAGTTGTCCCTTTTTCTCACGGTGGGGCTGGCTGCGCGAGCCAGCTGTCCGGGGAAAGCGAGGAGGATTCCTGCCTCCTCTCCCGGTGCACCTGTCCTACCCCACCGTGACCTCCAACATTGGCGCGGAGACTTTCGGAAGAGAAAAAAAGAAATGATTGTTGGCAATGGCGGCTCCTTTATTTGCGTGTTTCGTCCTCGCCTCTCTCTCTCTCTCCCTCTCTTCAGTTTCTCTTCCCTACGCGCTTGTAACCTCCTCTCCCATCCGTGAGTCTGCGTTCCGGGCTTGAGGTGGCTCTGGAGGGGCTTGAATCGGTTAAAGGCCTGGCTTGGTACGACACGCTGAGTGACGACAGAACGCGGACGTCAGCTCGGTAACCGATGCATTATTCAGTGCTTAAAAAAAGACAGGGGCTTTTTATTTAAATTTTTTTTTTTTCAGGACGTTTCAGTTTCGGCAGTGCAATTCCGTAGTACATGACCGTAACACCTTTGTTGTCTTTGAACTTGGTTTCGGGTTGCACTCGGGAGTGATTAGAATGCATTGACTAATGTTTAGACATGCTGAAGCATGCGCTGTGCTCGTGCAAGTCGAGATACATCTTGTAACGCGTTGTTTTAATCACCCCCGATAATCTGTCTTTTTCTCCTTCTATTTGAATAAATTCAGGGTTTCTTATTAACCAGGTGTTCTCATGCGTAAATTTGGTGGCGACTAATATACGGCTCGAAAATGAGCATCGTGCGTGACGGGTTCTTTATAGTAATCCGCTATTTGTACTATGTGTGGTGGCGGAACAAAAATGTAGTTTATTGATAAAAATCTACGCCGTGCGTAGTTTCCTTTTCGTTCTTTCTTTTTTTTTTAATGTAGGATTAAGATTTAAAAGTTGTTTAATTTTTAAACAAGATCTACGACGAGGCGTTTTTTGGATGCCCGGCATTTTCATTGATTCATTCATTCATTCTTTGAGTTCTCATTTGCAACCCGATGACCTTTTTCGATAAAGCACACAGATGTGTGGACAAAGGAAAACAAACAGAGGGCAACTAGTCAGACTCTAAATGTCAAGCTTTTTTTCAGCCATTAATTCGAACATAATATTTAAAAGAAACAAAAACACGGTTTCTTTTATTTCTGGGATAACCGGAAACTTCGAAAGCGATCAACTACATGGGATCGTATGCCTTCCGGCGTTTACCTGTGAAAGAAATTTTTTTTTTTTTTTTTAAATATTCGACGTATTTTGGGAATGCATGTCCCAAATGTTGCCGGTCTGCGCATGAGCAGTACCGAGAACCGCGCCGCCGTAGCGGTCTGACTCCCGAGCACCGCGTTTGTGTATCATACCAATACCACCTAGAAAACAAGGCCTGCGCATGACGTTTCGTTAGTAGATCCCCGACCCGCCCCAAGCGGCAAACACCCCGAAGCTTGACGAGAGTAGGGGCCGCGTCGCAACTACGTCGCATTCACTTGCGACCGCAGCTGTGTGCGTGACTGCTGAGCGCGAGCTGACAGCGAGCTTCCAGTGCATTTGCGACGTGCACGCGAACGCTCCCTTGGCCAGGAGCGCGAGCTAGCACGCGCTCCTGGCTTTGAGACGCGCATTTCTAGCGCGCGCGCTCGTTCTGCGGTAGAACGCTTCGAAGCAGCTACCCGAGTTATAAACAGCGCCCTCGAAAATGGCGTCCAGTGTCAGCGTCCAGCGTCCAACGAAGGGCTTTTCAGCCCTTCGCGCAGCAGCAAGGCAATTTCGCTCATGCATTTGACGCTCCACGTGAAAGTCTAACTTCATCGTATGCTCTTTGCAAGAGACACTCGACGTGAGCATTTGTTTAATTATCTGTTACACAAACCACTGAAGCAGGCGATGGAGCAGACGATGTAGCAGACGATGTTGCTCATCCGGGCTAGCTAGGGGGCGCTGAGGGGATCTACTAGTGATGACGTTTAGAGGAGGAAACGCGCAGGCCTTGTGTTCTAGGTGGTATTGATCATACCCACGAGCTCGCACGCGCGTACACAAACGCGCACACACATGCACGTGCGCAGGGCCCGATTAAGGTACGGGCTAAGGGAGCTGCAGCCCCGGGCCTTAAAGGAGCTGTGCAACAATTTTTGTACTGTGCACAGATACCGCTTAAAACGGATCCCTAACGTTAATGACCTATGAAACACGCCTTCGTTTTTCACCCCACGCAATAGAAGTCCCAGAAAAAAATCTAAGAAAAACGAGCAGCGTTCACCCCCTCAACTCGCAGCCAGAACAAGCGGCCACGTGACCTGGAGCCGATTATATGCCGCCAGTGTTGATCACAGCCACGCGCTGGGGTTGGCAAAGCGCAGGACACGCGCTGAGTTCCAGACATTGTTATGGCTCGGCTGTTGTCGTCGTTGCAGCGATTGGACACGGGTCACTACGCGAATGCTTCTCGAGCTAGCAATTGTCACGAGCCCAAGTCGAGTGCCCACGCAATGCTCGGGTCCAATCTATGAACAGCATTCAAATATCGTCACTTGGGTGTACTGCGATCCCCGAATTACGTCATCATATTTTGCGAAGGAGAGATTGAATGAAACTGATCGCTTTTGCCCTTGAAATTACACCGCAACAAAGGAGTTTCTTGGCCAACGGAGTTGCGTGCAAGTATACTTGAGTCCCAGGTGTGCCAGTAAGCTCGTGTCAAGCGAAAAACATTCCAATTGAATATCGTTGCACAGCTCCTTTAAGGCTGTAGGGGACCCCATGCTGGCCCCTGGGATTTCAAAAAATGTTAGACTTTTCTATTTAAGGCGCCTCAAATCAACAGCAGAAGGAACTCTCTGAAGAGCCTCTGACACTTTGGTCTTCTCGCTACCTTTTCCTTCTTTTTTTTTTTTTTCGTTTTTCAACAGGGAAATAGAATTGCAATGACGTTTCCGTCTCTGGACAGGCGGTCGTTTGTGAGCTTGTTGTACAAGAGTGTATCCAGGAAGGAAATTATAACCCGGCCTCCCATGCCCTTCGTCGGAAGGTGCAAAGGTGTCGACCCTGAGGATGGCGATAGAGTTCTCCTCTGTACTGGGGCCCCCTTGGCGATTTTTTGCGGACAATGGAGGGTCGGAAGTTAAGCAGGTGCTTCCAAATACTATACTCGAGCAACACAACGTAGTTCACAGGTGTTGTTTGCAACCTTTTATCGAAACTTTATAATGGAATTTGCTCAAGAAAAAGTGGAAAACGAGCAAAAAGGTACCGTTAGAAATTCCGGAAACTGGCTCCAGAAGATAACTACCAACGAGCGTTTAGGGCCCTCTACGGTTTTCGATGGGCACTGACTGCAAGCAACTGCTCTGAATTCAGTGTCTGGTATGCCAGTGCGTGTGAACACTCTTCCTTCCGCCGTCCGATTAGAGTACTGCGATAGTTTCACCAATCTCTGAAGTATGACTTTGTATTAATTTTTTTTTTAGCCTCGAGTCATATTTAATTGGCTTCTGAGGTATAAGTGACTGCATTCAGAAGGAATAAGATGAGTACTAAAACTGGACCGAAACATTTCCCCCTTCACAAAGTCAGCGTGTAGGTACAAGAATTTCAAAGTATCTCCTCGAGTTTCGTGAGACCTTTTTTTCCCTTGGTGAATGTGCTCAAACGACAGCACTCGGCGTATTATAATCGCGTGCAGTTTCACGTATATACTTATGTTTTAAATGTGGAAGTCTGTGATCGTTTGTGACAGGAGTGTTTATTTACGAGAAGAGCGGGAATAAAGTAACTTGATCCCATAAGGACTGCTTCAACCAACAAAATTTCTTTCTTGCCTCAATTACTTCCTTCACTGTTCACAGTCAGTAACTAATTAGTAAAGGGATACTTAAAACGCTTTCAGTCATTCGGAACAATTACAGGAACAAGCGCTCTAGATTTTCGCGGCAGCTGTCGAGTTGCGAGGCATGCCGTCTAGAGCAAGCGAAATTTTGTCTTCTTTGAGATGGGAATTTTGCGGGTATCTTTTCGGTCGCTGCCTAACCCATTTCATATCTGAAAAAAAGAAAGGACCTGGTTGCTTCTATATTTTGTTTTAATGTTGTTGTTTTATTTGTTTTCGCCGCTTCTCCCATAAACCTTCGAGTCTCGTTCTTCGAAGCAATCGGCCGGGGACGATTAAGCTCTTGCAATTCCGCGTACACACGTGATCCTCACCGCGATAAAGTTGTGTGTTACAGTCAGAACTGGAGACTTATTCAAAAGACGGCACCTGCCTGTCGGCAAGCCGGCGATGTTGATCGATATGGATGAACGTTGTAGTTTAGAAAAGCCATTTTTGTTCTTTTTATTTTCTCCTAAACAAGTTCTAGGCAAAACGATAACCAAGGAAATGTTCATTAACGGCTGTGGTGTTAATTGCTGTAGTGTCAAAATGAAGCTGAAAGATATGTGTAAAGATTGCCTTCAACAGTATTTACTCGCAGCTATTTTGTTATCTTTCCACCTATTTGTCACATTTTTTGGCCCTTAATATCCGTTTCCAAGTATATATTCACATAATTGCTTTGTTAGTGGGTGTGTGTCGTTTTAAAAAGAAGAAGTCAATAACGAAGATATGAACCGGAGCGGCGACAACAATAATTCATTAATTGAGTTTTACGAGCAAATGCTAAGGCGCGATGAGGGAGCTCGGATAAAGCTCTGCCAGTTCAACTAAAGGAAGTATCTAGATATATGCACGCCAAGATTCAAAACACACAGACCAAATAATTTACCT